GGAGACTGAAGGGCCTAAAAACTATTTTTACCTAGCTAGAAAGAACTGAGACACATGGAGAAATGGAGCCATCTAGTGGCCTCTTGCACCTATAGCAATGGTAGAAAAAGGCATCTTGTTTTTCATGTGAACTGAGAGAACATCTGGGGTGAGGCTGAATACATGTATTTATTCATTTATTTCTTACATTTATATGCCACCCTATTAGTGAAAAAGCACTATTCTTGATGGTTTAACAAATCAAATTCAAGGCTACATAAAAACAGACACAGAGTAAAATGGAGTTGTGGCCCAAGTCAGATGGAATTAGTGGCAGGGATGGTCTTCCATGTGTATTCCTTGGCAGTAAGAGACAGAGCCCTGAGGTCCTTCAAAGTAATACAGCTACTGCCTACGATTCCTGACCTTAAAACAAACAAATGAGGTGTGTGACCACTTGGTTGGTCACACACAATTAGGGTTATTCTCTGACAGACTCTGCTGGCCTTGGAATAGGCTAAAGAGGACACCCGGTTGTCCAGAATAAGAGCTAGGCCCTTCCTTTGAAGAAAGCTCTGAAGAAGTTCTGGCTTGCTCATCCAGCTCTTCCAATCAAAGCCTGGAGGAGGCTAAATAGATGGCCACCAGTTTTGTGAACTCTCAGAGAATGAAGAGAGAAGGCTTAGGCACCAAGAGTCACTTAGAATGAAAACATTATTCTCATGTGCTCCCTTCCTTCCTGGGCAATAAGAACACCCAACTCTATCCACCAACATTCACTTATTTTAGAAATTTGTATCCTGTTTTTCCTTGTCTGTTGAGATGTCTCCACTATACAAATAAATAATAATAACATTTAGTGTTGTCAGGTCAGTTCTGACTTACGGCAAACTTTTTCAGGATTTTCTAGGCAGACAACACACAGAAGTGATTCCCTTCTTCTGCGAGTGCCCTGGGACTGTGCAGCTTGCCCACAAATAAATAATAATAACGTTTAGTGTGGTCAAGTCAGTTCTGACTTATGGCAAACTTTTTCAGGATTTGGGACTGTGCAGCTTGCCCGTGGCTACATAGGCTGGTTCTTCCCCCAGGAGGCAGAGTGGGGGATTGAAACCTCTGACTCTGCAGCCAGATACCTAGCTCGCTTGAGCTATTCGGCCAAATATATGAACATAACAAATAAACAAAAGTTTCATTTACGTTCCCCACCCAGCCAAATTTAAATATATTAGAATAAAATTCAAGAGATAACATAAAGTGATGCAAGATTTGATGAATATGCACCATGAATAATATGATAGTTTTTATAATCTTGATTGGATTTTTAAAACACCACAATAATAATAATAGAAAGCAACCCACACTTCAATGATAGATGATTTACTTAAAAATGTCAATTTGTGCAAAAAGAACTGGGATCATTATCTGGGAGGCTTAAGTCATAGTAATGATAAATACTTACTGAGCTATTTTAGCCGCTAGTACCGCTCCTTGTAAGCAACCCCAAATCCCAGCCCGAGCAACAAATTTCTCACAAAAATCCTGAGATATGTTGGCGACGTTGCCAGTGGCGTTTTCTGAAGAGCCATCAAACTCTTGCCAGTGATGAAGTGCATCTACTATTTTGAGGGTTCCATCAAGGCCTTGACACCAGCATTTGAAAGCAGCTCTGTAATACATTTAAAAATATATATTGTGTTTTTGACATTTGTTAAAATGGAGGATAAAGGCAGTATTTTATTTTGAATCTTACCCTCAAGTGAAGGTGTAATGGGCTCAGAAAATGTGGAATGAAATGCAGAAACCAGAAAATGGGACACAGGAGGCAGATAAATAGAACTTAACTGAGAATACCACCTGGAATGGTGAAATACACCAACCTGCTAGTCTCTAAACAAGCTGGAAAATGTAAGGTTGATTAATCTTTACTTGTGCATTTCTCTTCTTCCTTAATGGTGTGAGGAAGACTATATAGGGATTCATTCCTCACAGAGGTCTGTGACTGATAATGTGCAGTTAAATGAACAAATAAATGAACATTTATCTGAAAAGCCAATGAGAGGGGGGAAAAAATTACACAGATTCTCCAAAATGGTTACACAGATTTTCACCTGCCACAGTAGTGATTTGGCTGTGGGTCATTTCTCAACCAGCCCTTTTAAGATAAGGCAAAGAAAAGATCTTAGATTAATTTTTTTATAAGGGATGCACTTGACATTTGTTAAAATGGAGGAGTTTAAACATTTTTTCACTTTCTCTGCCTGCACACCCCCTACCAAAGAGCAGAGGAAGTGTTTAATTTGCCAATATCATTAAGTGGTTATCTTATTAAGCCACTGCATGATATGAAAAATTCTCACCGGAAGGAGCCTTCAGAGCTATCACATATACTAGAAACAAACCACACCTAGCCACATCAAAAAAAAAAAAAACCAGTAGAAGGGCCAGAAAGGTGCAGGTCAGACTGCTATGGAGGCAGGCTGGATTGTCTGATCACCATCCCAACCCTGCAGCAGACCACACACCAGGCTAAATGTCTGTGTAGTCAGCCTCTCAGCTTGCACTAAAAAAGATGGACACAGTATCTCTGCATGATGAGGCAGAAACAGAGAGAGGAGGATCTCTGAAGGTTTCCTAGGTTGTGTCCTTCCCATGTTCAGATCTCTGCTGACCTTCTTTCATACTAGACCTAGAGTCACTAACATCACTTCCTTCTCACATCTCCTTCTTGATCCTCTCCTGCAGAGGACAGGGGAGACACCTTGCTTTTGTTCTCAAGAGGTGAGGAGGCAGTCATGATTCCCTGCATTTTCACCTTACATAGGCACAATTAGGATTCTTATTCTCTTTCCTATCTCAATGTTTTTCTATAATAAATTCTAGCTGTCTTGTCATCTTAAAACAAGAAGTGTGGATGTGATTTCCTTCCAAACAGGAAAGTGTGCATTGCTACCTATTTTGATTATCAAGGGCTTCGTCTTCTAACAAGACCCATCGCTGGCCTTACCTTCTAACCCTTCAGCTGGCAGCCCTTCAGCTATGTATTTTACTAATTAAGTATTAACATTGAAAATTTTTGATATCATTTTGTATCCGTTGCACTCTATATACCTTTTGTTGCCCATAGAGAAGTGAAGATTTCCAAGTTCATGGCATGCCTGCACCTTGAGGCCTTGTTGGTTTTTTGTTTCAAGAGCTTCTGCTTTCCAGACATTCAGGGGAGGGGAGACATTCAAAACATTAATATATTTCATACTGAATGGATTTATGTCAGAAAAGCTATACTGTATGCATTTAGGAAGTAATTAATCATTGTCTTTGATAATGCTATTACTTACATCTATTACTATGCTGAAATTAATTTTAAAATACAAGTGGGACTTGCAACAAATTGTCAGGTGACTCCATGCCAGCCATCCCACCTTCACCAAATGCCAGCCCTCATCCCCCTCCATTATGATTTCTCATTCAACATTCCAGTGTCATTGAACTGCTTCAGATTTTTTTTATTTTTTGTCTTCTTGGGGTTTTTTCTCCCTCAAGAGAAATCCTGTACTGCTACATACGACTGCTTTCCAAAAGGTGATTTACGGTTCTTTTTTTTCTTTGTGGTCCTAATCATGGGTACATTTTCATTGGCACTCATTGACAGTGCACCTCTCCCCCAAGTTCTTGTTATTAGCAGACAAGTTCATAAAAATAAAAATTAATGCTATCAGTTTAACATGTGGCTACAAAAACATTATGATGACATATACACAAGAACTTCGTGATCAACAAAAAGAAAGTTGTCATATTAAAATAATCTTGTATTTCACCAAGACATCTCACCACAACAGAACTCCACCAAGAGAGTCCTAGGGATGCATACTTGTATGTATCAAGAGGTTGCAGCAGAAAAAAGAGAACAGAAATAGAGCCACTGCATGAGCTTTTCTGAAAGACCAGATCTTTTTGACTCTCTCTTCTAGATATAACTCTTCCCCAAGACTTGTAATAACTCTATGGCTTACATGTAACACTGCTTACATGTAACACTGCACAAGTGGATGTGCACTAACACAATAGGAATGTCCTTCTCTTTCTCCTGCCCCAAACATTACTCTGGGTGGCTTCCTGCCTTACTGGTTTTGAGCACATGTTAGATGGGGCCATGAAGGGAAAGGGAAATGACTTTCCACTCCCCCAGGCCTTCTCATGGAAACCATTTCCAGCAAATAAATGATTAATGTGCTATAAAACTAGAAGTGGTACCTGAATTTGCCTTCTTCTTCCTCCCTCCCAATCTCATTGTTCTCTTTGTTATACATTTTAGACTGTAAGTGTGCGGAAGAGGCCAACAGAGATGCCTCTCGCAGGGCATCTAACCCTGGCCCAAGGTCCCAGGAGAATAGTGTACTTGCCTTGCTGGAGGAGATGGTCCTTAGCACGCCTGAAGCTAAGGACAGCACAATGCAGACCAAAATGGGATCAGAACCACTACAAGTGGAGATCCCAGCCATTTCCCTGGGGACCCAAGACTGTGCCACATGAACAGCCGCTATTCCTGCCAAAGCAGCAGATTGAGACCCAGGAGTTACACCAGGCCGGCTAGCACCAGAGTGCCCTCTGGAAGGAGCCAACCTCAGGAGGAAGCTGGAGCTATAAAAGCCATGCTGAAGGAGGTGGAAGGGCTCCAGACTCTGCTGGAGGAAACCAGGGTGGAGTCTCCAGATGAAATAAAAGAGGAGAAAGAGGTAGATGCTGAGACCTCAGTACTTCCCCAGGAGTGAGACTATATAAACAAAGAGGATCATTGGATGGGGGAGGCAGTGGAGCTGCAGATTCCCAAAGGGTGCGACACCTATACACCAGTATCTTCAATCAGCCCCTTGTCCTAATTACTGGGGGGGAGTACACCCAGCCAAGGCTCTAAATTCCTGGAGAAACTAAAGGAGATGCCACTGAAGCACTGATATTTCATGTGCCCTGCCCTCAGTGCAGTCATACCAGCCTTTGCTTCTCTGGGCCTCAAGCTTCAGAGGTCAGTGGAATCAACTGCCGAGACAAACTGTGGACGTATCTCCCAGTACAGTCAACTGGGGGATCTGAAAAATGAAAGACTGAGCCTGGGCCAGCGGAGTCAACTAGCCCTGTGGCTGGAATGTTCAGAAAGTTGTTGGTTGTTGATTCCGTCTCCCAAGTTTCTATAAGTAAAATTATTTTTGTACAAGCTAATATCGACTCAATGGATTGGGGTCACCCAGTGACCAAGAAAGGGTCAGAGGGGATCACCTGAGAATAAGGACTGCCTTATTCTGTATTTAGCAATAAGCCATCCTTGGAGTTTTGACAGGGATGGATAGAGGCTGAAAAACAGGAGAAATATGCTACAAATAAATAAATATCAACTGTAAGAAAAGATGGATTATAATCTTACCAAGTGTTTTCTCATATGAAGAAATGACGATTGACAGTTTTGACTGGGGAATAGCATTGCTCTGAACCATACTGAGGCAACTAAACGTTTCTTCTGAAAGATCAGGTGGTTGTGGTTGGTATGTCAACTCAGCCCCCATAACAAATCCCACTTTTCCCTGTGAAGATGCTTGGTTTCTGGTGCTTAATCTTCTAGAAAAATCTAAATAAGAATAATAATTAATTTATTAAATGTCACCTATTCAAGAGATATTGCTTCTGCCCAATGAGCTAGGGAGTCATGGCAAGAAACAGATTACTTCCAGAATTATTTCTCAGCTATTCCAGAAAATATACTAAATTCAGAAGAACTTTGTAGGCAGCCAGCAGAATGGTTAAGAAGTATGAATGTAAAATTAATAGTAATTGGCTCAAAATATTCACAATAAAAGACATACAGATGTAAAAGAACCTTAGTTGTTAACTAAGCATAAGTAGGGAATAAATTATACATGATAGGAATCAAATTCACCTTTATTCATTTTTTTTTCATTTTGATCCAATATTATGACCTTTCAACACTGCCTTTTTTAAAAATCTTTTTTTAAAATAAAGAGCCACCTATTCTTTGCCAACTCAGTTTTTGCAGGTCAGTGATTTTACCCACTTGAATTCAGGAGAAAACCATTTCTCAAATAAGAATGAAAATAGGGGGATGCAAATTAGATAGTGGTAATTTAAACAAACAAAATAAAAGAAATATTTCAGTATCAAAAAGGTCAATATTATAATGAAGGAAGAAACATGGAATTTTAAAAGGAATAAAAAATATTTTTCAAGGATCATGTGCTGACTCGACTACTCTTTTCAAGTCAGAGCTTTCTTGTAAACTAATGACGGAAAAAAAATACAAATAGAGATGGAATTCAGCCAGCAAGTTAGCTTTTTCCACAAAAAATCTCCTTATCTTTGAGAAAAGCATTAATAAGAATCAATGCAACTCATCTAATTATTTTTTAAACTTTCTAAACTCAGTTCATTTTCAGTGTCTTGTGCTTTCTATCTTGAGTAATTATTTCCCCAGGAAATTACTCTTGTAGAAATTACCAATTTCTAAATTTCATAACGTGCTTCTTGTGTTATAGCCAGTATCCCATTGCTGGTTTCAACTATAAAACAGCCGAACCATTGTTGAATGATTAAGCTGACAGTCATGTAAACCTCACTAGTTAATGGGTCTACTCTGGCTGGGATAAGGAATAGGATACTACCTTATATGTTTTGATATACCTTTAAAGTAAAGTAGTGGGGGACATGGAAGGAGCTTCCCCAAAGAATGTGAGGGCCGTGAACACATTTGGTCAGCTGATCCTTCCACTCCAGAAGCACCACTGGATTGCTTCTAACACCGACAAAAAGAAGGTAAAGCAGTTACCTTTCCCAAGATTCTTGATGGCAGATAATGCCAGTAAAATCCCATGAAGCCTCAGTAAATACATGTTTAATAGGCATTTTAATAATATACTGTACATCCCAGTTGTTTCTAGTAACTTAAAGTTTGTTTGTTTTCCATATATATATGAATCTTTCAGGTTGGATCCAGGACCTGCTTTCTATGAATAGAAGAACTTAAAAAAATTTCCTCTGAGCAATTTTCAGGAATCCCATTCTCCATCATACACTTCAACTGAGCCCCAACTTTCTTAGCAGTCTTTTCAGAGAAGTGGAAAGGCTACCACAGTGGAAGAGGAAGTCCATTTCTAACAGACCAGTTGAACAAACCTAAATCTAGCTCAATGCCTACATATCAGAGATAATAATCCATTAATGTTTTATAATATTTCCAGCAGTTAAGTGGGCTGAGTGGACAGATAAAAATAAAAGTATCACTAAGTACAAATGTTCTTTGATATGAAATCACTTTCTGTATTAACAAGTTCTTCTGTTTAAAAGTGAGTCTTAGAATGTTTGATTCTTAAAGTTAGTCCGGACCTATACAGAGTGTACCTTCATTGCTAACCAAAAGAAATTATGAATTAAAACAAACATTCACCTTGGGTGTGAGCAAGAAATAATGAAAGTAATTTCCTGCTGTATTTCAGGGATCTGCTATGGTGTTTCGATTTTTCCAGACTTTCACGGAAACATTTTAGTGTATCAGCCACATCCAAAGGAACAGAAAACAGTAATGTTGGTGGATTCACATCTGAAATGAAGCATTTAAAAGATTTAACACTGATGATATGATATGTTAATAAACAATAATAACTAAATTGTTGATAATTCCTTCTTCATTGGAACTAAAAAAACTTAACTGAATGTTTCAATGTTTTAATTTTACTTTGTACAACACAGGCATGTATGTCAAGGAAAATTACAGGCCTGAGCAGAATGGAGTATATTAATGAGAATCCATAATGAACAGGTGTGTTAAAACTGAGTCAGGATGACTCAGCAGTGCTGATGCAACTCATCAATGATGCAACTCAGGGATGATGCAATGTGTGATCTGATTGGTTCTGTATATGTATATATGTGTGAGTTATACAGTCACTTCTACATGTTATGCTGCCAGACTGCTGTAAATACTGCTGTAAATACACGTTGCTGAAGGAAATACTGCTGGACTGTGTATGAGTTATTTCTGGACTGCCTGGACTGCGATTTCCGCTGCTAAACCACTAAGAAATGTAAGAAATAACAATGTAAGAAATAAAAAGCAGAATTTGCCATCATTCTGTATACAGTACTTCACACTGGTGAAAAGGGACAAACAGTTTCTCTCTGTCTGCACTGAGGCCTTAAAAGATGAAGGATCTACCTCTGGAATGAGAAGACCAATATCCAAAAGGGGAAGGGAGTGGGAGGAGATCAAGCAAATGAGGCTAGGGCAAGATAAGGCAAGGAAATCCAGGGCAGTGTGATACACAGTGAGATAATTATTCAGACTGAGGAAGCAAGTCAGAAACAATATTTACAAAGAGTCAACTGTGTCCTACTAGTTGTCATATAAAGAAAGTCCCTCTCTGGTCATTATACGACTGGCACTGTGAGCTGTCCTTCACATTGGTTGGAGAATGAGAGTAGAACAGGTTTTTAAAAGAGGTAAAACCCATTTGCTACTTCTGTGAAATATCCCTACAGCTCTACTGAAGTACAGAGATCCTGCTTTATCCTTCAAAACCCATGCACACAACACAAAACCAAAACAGAAACCCGAACAGAATACCAAAGTATAGAAGATAAGCTTTGGTGCAGACATCTTCCTGTTTTGCACAGAAAAGAAGACAGAGCCAACAAATTCAATAGATTATTTTACAATGAAATAATAATCAGCCATGACAATAGGGTTTTCCTCCTTACCTATCGCCATACCCAGCTACTTAGAGCATTTAAAATTATTCATACCTCCTCCATTACATTGTGTTAGTATCTACAATCAATACAGTCTGTGTATGATTGAGGCATGGCCTAATATTACAGTAGTGCCTTGACTTACGAACACCTTGACCTACAAACGTATTGAGTTATGAACAGCTCCGTTCACATAATTTTGCTTTAACTTACAAACAGGATTTTGACTTACGAAGACAAAAAAGCAGGCGAAAAGGATGGAAAATTCAAATAGATAACTGTAGGTGGCGATGAGGCTGCTTCTTTGTAGCTCTTTTGCCTGGGCAGTTAGAGAGTTGCGATCTGAGGAGGCTGCCTAATAAGGTAAGGTGCTGCTTTGTACTTTTTAAAAACTGTTCTGGGTATTTTTCAGAGTGGTTTTCGGCTGGGGGGGGGCTGTGTTTCTGTGCTGTGCTGGGTCTTGGGGGAGTTGTTGATTTTTTGTTCCGCCCCCCCATTTCCGACGGAGGGGTTGGTTGCTTTTTGGATGTTTTTTCCAATTTCTAATGGATCTTTGGGGGTTTGTTTGTTTTTGGGGGGGTTTCCCCATTTTTGATGTGTCTTGCATGGTTCCCTTGTTTTTTTGCTTCATTCTCTTTGCATTTCTGAACTGCTCCATTTGTTTTCTGTGCTTTTGCAATGGTTCCTGCATGCTTCCCTTGCTTTTTTGCTTCTTTCTCTTTGCATTTCTGATCTGCTAAGTTTGTTTTCTGTGCTTTAGCAATGGTTCCTGCATGCTTCCCTTGCTTTCTTGCTTCATTCTCTTAGCATTTCTGATTTGCTCCATTTGTTTTCTGTGTTTTTACATGATTTGCATGCTTCCCTTGCAAATCAGAAAAGTTTTTGCCAGGGTCAGAGCTGGCTTGGTTTAAAATGCGTTGGTGTAAAATGTGTGGGTTTAGAATGTGTTTTAGCCTCCAAGCTCTCTCCCTCCCCCATTGTCTTCTCTCTCTCTGTCTCCCTCCTTTCCTGCCCTTTTTTAAACTTAAGTCATCTTAGGTTAAAAAAAATCTCCCCCTAATGGTAGAGGATAGATTAACTGGTTTTGCATTAGTTCCTATGGGAACTAATGCTTTGACTTATAAACCGTGCCTTGACATAAGAACAAAAGACAGCCAGAACGAATTAATCGGGTTTCAATGCATTCCTATAGGAAATGCTGATTTGACTTACAAACGTTTTGACTTACGAACACCATTCTGGAACGGATTAAGTTTGTAAGTCAAGGCACTACTGTACATGGTATACACACACACCTTAGTAGTCAAAAAGGCATACATAATAAACTGTTCAAAGGAAAACAGTGTTCAATGTTTGTGCTCTGACCTGAGATATCAAAACAGTCCTTATCAGTTGTTGCTTTATATTTCACAACAGAATGGAGCTTTTTCTCAACAAAGTCTCTGCAGCCCACCTACAAAATAATGTTTCCCAAAGAGTTACATCAGCTAACTATATTTTCAAATTTAAATAACTACACTCAGATTAAAGTTAATGAATAAAAACTGAGAAATCATAAAATATAACATACACAAAGCTAGACTACTGCGGTCGCATGATCACAAACAAAAGTACAGACCATTACAGCAGATCATTTAAAAGTTAAAAGTAAATGGAAACAGAAGCGTAGGAAAGCGAAGAACTCATTGGCTGAAAAATCTGGGAGACTAGTTTGGATGCAACACAACTACATAGTTTAGAGCTGCTACATCCACAGTAACAGCCGAAATGCCATTCATCTTTCCAGGAGGAGAAGGAGGACTCTTACATCTAACATAAAATTTGACTCTGCAGAACACTGAAAATCCACAGCTGTGATTGAAAAATAACTTTGGATGTACAAACAAATTAGTTAAACTGTTTTCATTTTCTGCAATTGATATTTTTAAAATGAGAATATGAACATTGATAATTGCAGGAAAAAATGTGCAGCAAAACAAACACTGGAAACGGGTACTTAGAAATTTAGTATTGCAAATGTTGGTATGAATTGACATGATCTGTATCTCTAAGACCAATGTGTAGATCAAAATGTGTAAGAAATCAATTACTGTCTTCTCAAAAATAAGTTCCATTGGCCAAAATCCTGTTGGCATGACTTTGCACCAGCACGACCCGGCTCAAGTGTCAGAAACATTTAATTCACATTAAATAATAGCTTCTTAATGATAATAATCATGTGCCATCAAGTTGATTCTGACTTATGGTGACCCTTTTCAGGGTTTTCCAAGTATAGAATACTCAGAAGTGGTTTGCCATTCTCTTCTTCTGAGGACTGTGCAGCTTGCCCAAAGCCATACAGCCTGCCTCTACTCACAGGAGGCACAGTGGGGAATCAAGCTTCCAACCTACCTAACTTTTCTAAGCCATCATGTAAGCTTCTTATCCCCCCATTTTAGGCTCCAAAGCTTCCTAGGACTCCCTTTTGGGGAGGAAGCATTTAAATATTTTTTAGAAATCACTGTCAAATTGCCACCAGTAGCAATCCAGAAGTGATTTTCTACTATGCTGGCAGAAAATTACACCAATAGAATTATGCCCAATATGTCCAATTTATGTCCATAACTGAAGCCTTACATATCCACCAGCTCTCATACTTCCTTGTTCTGATTCAGTGCTCATTTCGAGAAACATATTTATGTATATTTTAAAAACGCACATTTCTGAAGAAATAAATTTTAAATATTCAAATAAATATTGCAACACAAATTGTCATGTGTTGTTTTTAGTCACTAATTATGAAGCAAGACTGAGGAGACTTACGAGTGAACACATACATAAGTTTCATGGCCTAGAAAGAAAGACCTTTATTCATTCTTAATTAGGAGTCTTTTTCAGACATACCAATGCCAGCACAGTCATATAGGGAAAACCTTGCCACAAGTCCTCCAATGTTTAACACAAGTCTAAATTTAAAATACAATCTTCCAGTGGTTTGCCATGACTAAAACATTTTACCTGATCTCCAACGTTAGTGACAAGATGTTTGAAATGAACCCGTGGACTATCAAAGTCATTTCTTTGACTTTGTAATCTCTCCTGCAACTGTCTCTGAGCAAATACCAACAGGGAAGTCACTTGCTCTGTATACCTCTCACTAGGGGGAAAAAGACAATTTTTCAAATAAACAACACACTGTCTCCTAAATGAATCACCCCCCCATCAAAACCCACATAATTTTACTTACTGCGTAATTGTGTTAAATTGCATGGCTACATATATTAGTGATTCCCACTTCTTCAAACGAAATAGAAACTCAAGAGTTCTCAGGACCAAATTACATACTCCTTGCAGATCAACAACCGTTATATCATCAAATGGATATTGAAAAGAAAGATTTGAACCACCTTCGTCATCAGTAATGCCTCCTACGCAGCTTGGAACACAAAAATCTCCTTCAGTTTCAATAATCTATATGTTCAAAACAGAGGGTATTATAACATAATCTGAAGTTATGCTTGGTTCTCCTATGAGTTCATCAAGCATGCTGCACATTCATGCTTTCCATATCACAATTGCATTAAGTACGCACACATTTTAAAATCCAACAACAATATCAACTCATTTAAACATTTTAAAGTATAAGGAGCTGGGTTAGTTGTGTCCCAGCATCTCCAGCTCCAGTCCCTGGTGTTGCCAGGGAAGGTTTGAAGAGGTATTCTATCTGCATTCAACTGAACATACTTAAAGATCCACACATGACTAGAAGCCCTGGTAAGATAGAATTTCTGATTGCATAAATGCAAGTATGTTCAGCTGAATACACATAGATCTTCTTCATCAATAAAGGAGACCTGTAGTAGAGAGGTAAGAAGACTGAAGCACATGTTATTTCAGTTGAGGTCTCAGTAACAAAATGTTGTGCTGTAATTGTTACTGAAACATTACTGCACAAACGCAAAGATATATTTTTGTTATATCTGTCTGGCTGGGCATTTTTAAGAGCCAACTTAAGACTATTTTTGTTGTATCTGTCTGGCTGGGCATTTTAAGAGCCAACTTAAGACCTGTCTCTTCAGACAGGCCTTCTCTCCTGTTGTTACCTAACTTATCTTTGTGTTTGTGCAGTAATGTTTCAGTAAAAATTACAGCACAAAATTTTGTTACTGAGACCTCAACTGAAAAAACTTCATGGATTATACTTGGACAATTACGGATCTTGACTGCCATGCTGGTTCAGGTATTCTGGTAACTGTAGTCTTCCAAGCAAAACCATCAGATCTCCAAACTGATCAGTGCTAGAAACACAAAAGTTTGCATTCCTACTACCAGAGTCTCAATTTATTTCTATCTCATCAACACTGGGATGAGTATTGAGCTAAGAACTAGGGTGGAAAGACAAAAGAGACAGTGGATCACTGAAGCAGAGCATGGAGGCAGGGAGAAGAAAGAATGGGGACACAGAAAGAGATCTCATTGAGGTAGAACTAATGTGTTTCAAACCCTGCTGCAAGTGAATTGAGCACTAAGGTGAAGAGAGGAAGAGAAATCAGTAGTAATGTAAGAATGGGGAGGAGGCAGAGGAGAAGAAATAAGGGATTGGGATGAGGATAAAACTTACGGATATTTAAACCTGGTGAAGTCAGGTACATTTGTTAATAAAAAATAAAATTAACACAGTACATAGATTATATTAATAAAAATACATTTACCTTAACAGAATTACTAGCCTGGAGATCAACAATCATGTCCAGCAATGCATTTGATGCCATGTAGTATGGTAGCCAAATTGTATTAAGAAAAAGCTCCTTGTTGATAGGAAGTGGTGCATGAAAAGATGCTGAAAGTTTCATAATTGATTGCACTTCCTGAGTATAGTTCCAAAGGTCTCGACAAGCATTCTGAAGCAACGTCCAATGGCCACCACGATGAGCAGTAACCTGGATCACAATGCATCAAAATGCAGTTAAAGAATGGAAGTTACTGACTCCTCAGTTGCTTAACCAATAGAAAATAAATACACATTTCTGGTAATAATACTTGTTTATATGTTCTTCCTGGGAGGATCACATATTTTTGTACTAGGCTTTGGGGGAAGGTCTACAGCACTTGCTACAGAGAGTTCATTTCTGCTTCAAAGGCGCTCAGTAAGAAGTTATAAATTATTTATTTAAAGTAATTTTGGGAAAAGACCAAGCTAAAGTAGGAATTGAGCACTTATACTTTTTCTTTGTTGCCTGTTATCACCTTCTCATCCCCATTGAGTAGCTAAGCCACTACAGTATTTCTTTTCTCTGTATTTTACTACACACTGAAGAATGCTTTTTAATTGCTTTTAGCAGTTCTTGCTAGCTTCAGCTCATTCTCAGTTTTTCCTTCCTAAAGCCATTTCTGTAATTATTTGGTACTTGTCTATACTCTTCCTTTGTGGCCTGGGCTTCCTTCCACTTTGTATGGACACCCTTTTTAGTTTTCAGACCCTCTCTGAGTTTTCTATGAAACATATTGGTCTCTTTCTTTCTTTCTTTCTTTCTTCCTTTCTTTCTTTCTTTCTTTCTTCCTTTCTTTCTTTCTTTCTTTCTTCCTTTCTTTCTTTCTTTCTTTCTTTAATTCTATTTATATCCCGCCTATCTGGTCATTGCGACCACTCTAGGCGGTCTTTCACCTTTAATTATCTTAAAAAAATTATTTGTAGTTTCTGCCTTTAAAATGTCCTTCTTAAGAAACTCCTACTCATTTTGAACTCCTTTTCTTGTTAGGCTCTCCTGTCATGGGGCCGTTTCTCATGCTGGAGTTAGATCTGAAAAATGATGACATTTGGAAGGGAAATGATGAAACCAGAAGAATATGAAACAAGTAGTGGTGCTATTCACTGAAAATATAAATAAATAAATAAATAAATAAATAAATAAATAAATAAATAAATAAATAAATAAATAAATACATACATACATACATACATACATACATACATACATAAATACATAAATAAATACATAAATACATAAATACATAAATAAATTGTGAAGACATTATACAACAATAATTAAAGTATATTACCACAGCTCTTTTAAAGTGGAGAAATGTTTTAGAAAAATGCTCCAGCACAGCAGAACAACACTGAGCTCTTTCACGTTCCTTGAGAGTCATGTGACCTTGAATTGACCGAGGAGTGTCTCTTTCATTAGACTTAGTGCTGTGATTAGAAGAGACATCTGGATCTAAAACCGGATACAAGAATCACATGGTTAAATCAAAATAAGTTATGAAAGACCCTGGAATTAGCAGTAATAGTGATTAAGTATACAGTATTATGTTAAAAGTTAAATATTTAGTTACTGAAAAAGTAACCTTTATTGTGCATATTGATGCTATTATGTTGCTATTCAAGCTACAGTTGCAATTGTGCCTAAGAAATATGCCACTGAATTTAACTGAATAATCAGCAAATCCACAAATCACTGACTATTCCAAGTTTGGAACCAGTGAACTCATTGATGCATTTTGGTACTCAATATTGCTTCATGAAAATATCCTACATTGTCCTCTGCACAGGAAATATGTGTCGAACAGTATGAAGTTCGAACAAGGAGCACTGATGACTAGATGTCACTTTTTTCTCTGGTCAGAGAAAGCAAATGAAAACATGTCCAGAAAACAGCTACCAGAAATCTTTAAGCAGAATACACCAAATGATAGGAAACAGCCACACTCTCCTTTTTCTTCCACGCTTGCTGCTATTTTCTAGTGAGAACATCATATCACCAACGAAAACCTTTGTAACCTCCACCTTGTTACTCTTCAGCTTATACAGCTTTGCCACATATAATATACACAAACGTACAGTACATATATATCCTGTCATTCTTTTATGTTCACTGACAGCTATTCTAATTCTGACATTTCACCTGCCCACTTGCTCCAATCCATATGAAACTTTTACCACTCTTAGAACTTAGTCCTGTCAAAACTCAGAGATGGAACAATTTACAATATGTAGTGGTAGGTTAGTTGAGAGCTTATAAATGTTCATTTTGAGGATGCTTGGAGAAAGAATTTGTGCAGAAATACCTTCAACTTGAATCTTCTCACAGATTGTCAGACAAAGCAACAAATAGCAACCCACCTGTATCAGGGACTGAAGATGACAGCTGACTCATAGTGGAATCCATCATGGCGTCAGCTTCAGGGGTGAGGCAATTACTGTCGTCAAGTGGGCTTGAGGTAGAAACAATGTCTGAAGAAGCATTCTGTGATGTACGGTCAGAGGCAGGCAAGGAAGGACCAGAGTCGAAGGCAGGGGAAGTAAGGTCAAGTATGTCTGAGCAAAGAAGAGTAAGGAAGCCTTGACTTGCTATAAGCTGTTAGAAGCAGAATATTCCAGACAAGTATGCCTTGGCCTCCAGAAATTCATGTACTCCTAGCATTCCAGAAGCCCAAAAGAGAAGCCAATGTGAACGAACAGTAAAAGGTTGTATTAAGGCTTCCTCTCATGGTTGATCAGCTATGAATATTCCTGGACTAGATTTCTGACCCTTTAGTTGCTGGCACTTCACAAGACCATTGCTGCGAGAAGGAAAAAGAGCTACACATGTTGTGATAGATCCCGAAAGATTCAGAAGAGCTACTTGTCAATTAATCCAGGGAGTCATTGGATTCAGGTTTTCCTTTTGTTCATGACATTCTGGAGAACATCATAAGGGAACTATCATGTGCTTAACCTTAAGACACACATTTGGAACACTAAGTGGAATTTAAAAATGGCATCAGAACACCTGTTTTAGGATAGTTGTCAACTGAATAATACTGTTTCTAATTAAAACAGGTTGGTGTGCTAAGAAATGAATTGAAGTAGTTGCATTATTTCAGAATATATCTTCAAGACCATTTAGATACTAATTGTGTATATAAAATGAAAGTCAATAAACAAATTCATGAATAAGATACATAAATAATCTGCTTCCGGAATTAAATGCATTTTTTTCACCCAGGAATGTATGGGCTTAGGACTTTCTCACCCATTTTATTAGAGTAGCCACTGAGAAAAGCTAAGTTTATATGACTTCCTTAGTCTTCAAAAGCAAATGAACTGACATATGACATTCAATTTATTCCTTAATCTGCAGCAGCTCTACTTCACTGCAAACACTAATGTTAAACAAATTAAAAGATTACCAAAACAATACAAAAAGAACCTGTTTTATTTTGCCACCCTCAGCATTCACATCACTCCTCAACTGAAGAGAGATTCCTAACAAACATAAAATGCAAGCAAGTAAATAAGTAAGAAAGACATGTCATTAAACATATAGGAAGGAAAAGATTTAAAAGATGTAGAGGTTATATAAATAATATACCGAATGATTCAGCAGTATGAAATTCTGAACACAAGGTCCAGGACATTCCCCTTTGGCTGTAAGAAGCAAAATTCTTCATTTGAAGCTCCAAGTACTGTATAAGCCTAGGGCACTACAGTTTATGAAAAAGGATGATAAGACATAAGAAATTGCAAAAGAAAATGGATGTGTTTAAGGTACAGGAGAAAGTGGAGAAAGAAGCAAATAAACAGAGTCTTTTAAAATATTTACAAGGAGCTCATTAAAATGGGATAAAATTGTTCATTTATCCTCTAAGGATTGGCAAGATAATTTCAACAACCTAACTCTAAGTATTAGGAAAAACTGAAGTGTATGAACACTTCAGTATGCCTTAAGTAAGTTACAGAAATCATTCTGTGAACATATCAATAAAATGGTTCTTTTTTCTTAAAGATAGTTTACAGAGCAGTCATAGATTACCATAGATTGGTTGGGCCCATTCCCATTCTGATTCAGGCTTTTTACAATATTTATGGCCTATTCTTTGTAACAAAAAGACTGTTCCCTATTCCCCAACTCATCAAAATTTCCAGGTCATGTGCTGGACACAGAGACATAAGCTGAGGCAGAAGCAGGTCGAAATAAGGCAGGTAGGTAGATTCAGAACATAGATGTGCTGTACAGTACGTTACTAAGTACCTATAAAATGGACAATGAGGACAGGATCAAGGATTTAAGTACACCAGAGCCATGGAAGCAGCATAAGTAGCGGGGGAATCAGGATAGCAAAGGCTATAATTTGAAAAAAAAGGTGTACCTTGAACAAGAGATGCAGGAAGAGGGGCAGCAGCAATGGACAATGCAGCACAGACTACAAGATGTAAGCAGGGCTAAGCTCAGACTTTGACAAGCAGTAGATGCGATGGACAAAACAGACACAGTGGAAGCACACCCTGAATACTTGGTTTGAATTCATGATAATTAACAATTATGGACTTCATTTTCCTGAATCCTAATTATTTCCAATCCAAAGGCAAGGATGATTGATGTGTATATTGTAATTAAACCACTAAAAATCACCAACATAAGATAGATTTCAATCCCATACAGGTCTCTCCTACAGGCAGGGAACTACAGAGCTGAGGATGGTGCAGAGAAAACATTAAAGATCCAAAATTTATGGCCAAATGTGCAAGCCATGTTCCATGTTTTTAAATTTTAGTTTCAGTCCGTTCAGATCGTTGGCTAAGCAGCTCAGTGGTAGGGCAGTACAATGTCTGCACTCATTATTTTAAAATTGTTCACACGAAAATAATCTCAGAACTACAGCCCTGGATGGGACCCTGATGTTTCGCCAGTCTCTATGGATGGCATCTTCAGAGGACTGGAGTAGGAACTCTTCAGAGGACTGGAGTAGGAACTCTGTCCATGCATGGACAGAGTTCCTACTCCAGTCCTCTGAAGATGCCAGCCACAGAGACTGGCGAAATGTCAGGAACAACAACCTTCAGAACACGGCCAAAGAGCCTGAAAAAACCCACAACAACCGTAAGATCCCGGCTGTGAACGCCTTCGAGAATACAATGTTTATCGTTGACTTATATCTATTACCTGTTTTCTTTCTGATTTTTCCTGATGGTATTCTTCCAAAAAACATAGTTTTAAAAGATTTCACATCCTCTTCCATTGTTGCTGTCATCAGTATGGTGCCTGAATTGTTCAATGAGAATATTTCAGAGTCCAGCTCATCATACCTGCAACAGCCAAGTGGGGAGGGGAAGAGCTAATTATTAGTCACAGGATAATGAACACGCAGTACAAAAAGATGCAAAACATTTATCTTCTAGCATTGTTATTTTGCAAATATATCAGGAAGCTATTAAGAGAAAATGAGTTATGCCTTGCATACTTCAGTGAAATTCTGCAGTCATAGGATGCCCCACTTATAACTTCTCACTCTGTATGTTATTATTAAAGGTGGCAGTTCTGGCAACACATACCGTGTTTCCCCGAAAATAAGACAGGGTCTTATATTAATTTTTCCCTTAAAAATGCATTAGGACTTATTTTCAGGCAATGGTTTATTTTTTTCAAGAACAACAATCTACATTTCTTCAATTACCATCATTAATTTTATTTATTTATTATTAATTTGTTCCCGTTCCCGTTCCCCTTCTTTAAAGTACCCGGTGCCACTTCCACCAGGGGTGCGTCTGCCGCTGCCAGGAGGCGCCACGGTGGTAGCTGGGGTTCCTCCAGTGGTGGTGCCTGGGCTGAGGCCTCCCATTGGGGCTGGCAGGCACTGGGTTTGTTTTGAGGGAAACAACAGCAGCAGTGAAGAGGGAGGCGTCGGTGTAGAAGGGGGTGGGGTCCAAAGCCTACGAGCCCAGTTGAGGAAAGGGTGGTGGCTGCTTCACCATGTGGCCCTGCCAGTAGCACCCAGCACCAAAGAGGGATCCGAACAAGGGGAGGTTTAAAAGAGTTATGGTAGGAGAAAGAGGGGAGGGGGAAATTAAAGGCAGGGCGAGGGCTGGCGGGCTGGCGGGGGCTCCAATTGCCTCCCCCCTCCAACCTGGTGCTTTGTTAGCCTCGCCTGGGCTCATGCTGGAGGGG